TAATAGTACTGTCAGGGTTAGCCAAACATTATTATTAACTGTCTTAATTACAACTGTACAAACACGGTGATAATTTTTTTTATAATAAATAAATCTACATTGTTCACTGAATAAATTATCTTGCATTTACACACATGTTATCTTGCCGACGGCGTCATAATTCCGATTTTGGGGATAAAAAAATGCAAAATCGGTTTCTCAGATTTCTCCTTTACCTGGGGACCCATGACACCTGTTTTAAAGTCAATTTAATAAGACCACTGAGTACTCCGAATACCTGCCAGCGATTTTTCTGAAAAACCGTAGTTCCGATGTTATCGTTAATAAGACAAAATAAAACTTGCATTTCAATAATGCATTGCAATTAGGGGCTCAAAACTGAAAAACAAAGCATTTTATCCAAAATGACGGCATGGGATTGAAGCCCATACACTTTCCGTCATCTATGCCAATTTTCGTGATAAGGTCTCGTTTAGGTGTAAAGTTATGCTCCAAACCGATGGCCAACTCGCATCAAAATAAAAGATGTTAAATAGACGATAAAAGCTTTAAGTTGCCTACATGTTGTATGCTTATACACAGAAACGAGAAATATAAACTCTGATATTTTATGTTTTCGAGGGGATTTTATTGTTTTTAATCAGCACAAAGGTAGATACATTAATGAATAATAAGATGCAGAAAAAAGACGCATTTGGATTATCATGTACCCTTTCAGTACCATTGAGTTTTTTTTCCTTTGACTGCTATTTATTGAGAAGAAACATTCTGATAATGACCAACACCAAACGTTGTTGCCCGGTAGATGTCGGTATTCAAACAAAATTGTTCAAATATCAGACCTCGGACTGCTTGAGTTACGGCTAACAAGAAAATGCAGCAGCCACAACACAAAGCACCTGATTTTATTACCCATATTTGAAACTATTCACCGTGAACAAAAGTGATTTTTCTGTTCCAAGAAAATGGGCCAAGGTCAAAACATAATGCACGTCAATGTAAACCGAAAGCATCTTGAAATAGATTTTAAAAAAATTAGTTCAGATAACCTGTTTTGTTCAAAGTTCTTGATTTAGATTAAAAAGTACCGCTTTAGCGCTGTCATTTTATGAAATTCAGTTTTCATTTCTTTGATTTATTCCTCTGTATAGATGTTAACTATACAAACATATTAATTTTGCCTAGATGAACATTTTTGATTTAAGTGAATGACAGACCGCAATTTCTTTGATAAAACACTGTACCCATTTTTATCGGCAGAAAAATCGGCAGATGAAAAACATTAACGCTGTTTCTAATTATAATTGAAAAATGTTTTCAGAGATTACAAGCAATCAGTTCTATCTGATTTATACATAATTAAAGAGTATAATAAAGGCATAAGGCGCACTTTTGAATAGCCCTGTTGAAGTCAATGTGAAGATTGCAAATCCATATATAATACTGCTAGTCGAAATATCTGAAAAGCCTGTGTCCAATGAAGCCGTAACTGGATTAAATCTAACAAGTTAGATCCTTATTTTATTCAATTTCATGTTCAAGGGAAGATGTTCATACTTGTAGTGGTATTGGTCCGACTAGTTTATATTCCCGGTCTACCAGTGACGCTGGGTTTACCATTGGTATAGGTAACGTGTAAAAACGAGAATGTGCTTTACGACGGTGTGAGACAGGGTGAGCCAGTGAGTGGCCGCGTAATCCGGAGGTGCGCCCTCAACCTACAATTTTAATGGCGCTGTCCTTGAATATTGTGGATGTTATATGTAGATCTAATTCCAGTGGTAGCTGTTGAATTAAGCTATCAGGGAGTTCCAAGTACTGCCCAGGCATGTTTCCGGGGATTGCTTAGATTTGTGCATGCAACATCCCAATAAAGTGCAGCAGGAGGCCAAGACCACCTGAGCGAAGATTATTAGGGCGATCCCAGCAGCATCGCTGATAACCCAGTGACACTCCTGTAAAATAGCACAAAATGTTCAGGTAGATTTTTGCATAAGATTGTGCTATACATTTTTACAAGCACAGAATGTGTGTTATTTTTGAACGAAAAACTTCGGAAAATCCAGGATCCCTTACGAACATTTCTTATAGGACTCTAAAGACTATGGTACTCTGAGTGGATTAAAAACAGTAAAATTAATACCCCCCCCCCCTCCGTTAAATTTTCTTTCGCTCTGACAATCTGAACCGACTGACCTATTATGTTAAATTCCAGTGCATTTATCTCCTCAGACTTATTGACAATATTGTTAACATACGGATCTTCTACTCTTTGATCGTTAGTACAGTATTTGAGAATTCTTATTATGGTTGAGACCAACACCATACATGTACCTGTTTCGTCAGCCGTTCAATCGAACAATGTACTCCGTATCCAAAGATAGTGCCCGCTACAACTAATATGACGAGAGACCAGAAAAAGCACACCTTGAATTCTTTATCGGTCATGTTTGAAACTTCTCACACCGAGCACAGTCGATTTCATACAAAGGAAATATGGGCCAAGGACTTAACACAACGCATGTGAATCAAAGTGAAAGTATCGTAGAAATAAAGTAAAGGAATAGTTTTATTATCTGACTTCAGATTTGTCACAGGGCGTGGTTTAGATGCTGCAGTGGTGTAATTTTATGACATCGTAGACCACTGGTTATCTCGATAAAATTGTCATTGGACAATTACCAAACAGCAAATACTAAGAAGTACAATACGTTTTTGGGCATTGATCATTCTGCGCCACGTTATCTTAATACCTTTTTAAACCACATAGAGGGATAGTAGTCTGTATCAACTTAGATAGATAGATTGATAGATAAGCGTGCAAAGAAAGGGGCAACTGGAGCAAGGACTAGATTCGCCAAACCCCCAGGTTAAATAGGTTGCGTAAGATGCGCAAATGGAAAGTGTGTGAGATATTTTACAAGTCCCATACAATCGTAAGGTATGCCATAGTTTGGAGTGCATCCTTAACAAACACAGGCAGACAATAAGAAAGGGGTCGAGTATGCGTATAAAACGCATAAAGAAAAAGCCCGAGTCAATGCCGCGTTAATGCCTCGTTTTCAGCCTATATGCTAAGGGTACTGTCAGGATTAGCCAAACATTATTATTTACTGTCTTACAACTGTACAAACACGGTGAAAAAATGTTTGATAATAATAAATAAATCTCTGAATAATCACTGAATAAATTATCTTGCATTTACACATATGTTATCTTGCCGATGGCGTCATAATTCCGATTTTGGGGATTAAAAAGATGCAAAATCGGTTTCTAAGTTTTCTCCTTTACCTGAGGACCCAAGGCAACTGTTTTAAAGTCAATTTGATAACACCACTGAGTACCCCGAATCACTCCCAGCGATTTTTCTGAAAAGCCGTAGTTCAGATGTTATCGTTAATAAGACAAATTGAAACGTGCATTTCAATAATGCATTGCAATTAGGGGCTCATAACTCGAAGACAAAACATTTTATCTAAAATGACGGCATGGGATTGAAGCCCATACACTTGCTGTCATCCAGCTAATTTTCGTGATAAGATCTCGTTTAGGTGTAAAGTTATGCTCCAAACCGATCGCCAAATCACATCAAAATAGAAAGATGTTAAACAGACGATAAAAGCTTTGAGTTGCCTACATGTTGTATGCTTATACACAGCAACGGTGTTTTCGTGGGGATTTTATTGTTTTTAAGCAGCACAAAGGTAGATACATTAATGAATAATTAGATGCAGAAAAAAAAGACGCATTTTCCGCAGTTGGATTATCATGTACCCTTACAGTACCCTTGAATGTTTTTTATCCTTCGATTGCTATTTATTGAGAAGAAACATTTTGATAATGACCAACACCAAACGTTGTTGCCCGGTAGATGTCGGTATTCAAACAAAATCGTTCAAATATCAGACCTCGGACTGCTTGAGTTACGGCTAACAAGAAAATGCAGCAGCCACAACACAAAGCACCTGCTTTTATTACCCATATTTGAGATCAACTATTTAACGTAAACACAATTGAACTGATCTTTCTGTTCCAAGATAATGGGCCTAGGTCAAAACGCAACGCACGTCAATGTAAACCGAAAACATCTTAAAAATCAAGCATCTATAAAAACTTAGTGTAGATAAACGGTTTTGTTTAAAGCGCATGATTTAGTTTCAAGAGAACCGCTATAGCGATGTCAACTTTTGAAATTCAGTTCGGTTTCCTAGACCATTGATCATGTATCTTGATCTTATATAATTAGTATCATTGGGTTACTTCGTTTGAGCCAAGCGATTAATTAAAATAACTGAAGGTACAACTACTTCTCTGATATAAAGTGGAGAGAGAGAGAGAGAGAGAGAGAGAGAGAGAGAGATGGCGGACAAACGGAGGGATACAGGTAACAGGTTCTCAAATTGAATGGAAGGGATAGAAGAAAGAACGTAGATGAAGGATTATCGTGGAAATAATGGGCAGCGTTTAAAGAAATCAATTTAAAGAATGGGAAACGGTGAAGGTATCTCTCATATAGAGCCTGGGCTATCGCAGTAAATGATCGCAAAAGACGAAGAGGTGGCGACCCCACTTACCTGCTGCCAGTGGGGTTACAGATATAGGGCTGTGTTCACTCTTACTTATTACGATTAAAAGAGTGTGTGCAAAGACAGCGTACAAAAGGCCCGCAACCGGGGGGGGGGGCGGTTTTGGGAGTTTGGGGGGGGGGGGCTTGAAAGAGCCCCCCTCCCTTTTTGCAGGGAAAAGGTCCCATCTGGGTAAAACTTTATTTAGGTACAAGGAGCTTTCATAGTAAAAAGTTCATTTTTTTTCAGAAAAATAACCCCCTATTGAAATTGCTGGGTACGGGCCTGTGCAAAGACGTGCATTTTGGTTTACAAAGACATAGAGTACGTAGACTGGGGAACCTACTTGTACAGACGTGCAAGGCACTCGTACTCTCCCGTGTAAGCCTGTCATTACGGCGGTTTGACGCGTAACTGGTGTGCAATCAATTACAGTAAAGCTTTTCATCCTTTTTATTATTCCGCTTGGCATAATTGCATAGTCTACAAATGATTTTCAACAAAAATTTAATGATGAACAAAATCTGAAGTTTTTTAAATAATATAAAGGTTATCACAATGATGAACAGAAACTGAAGGTTGTTACAAAAACAGCACCGTGACGTGTAGGTGAATTGGCACATAAAACTTAAACCCATTTCTCATTGCAAGTGATATTCAAATCCTTCAAACTTAGTGCTACTGCTAAAATTCCTCATTTGAAAATAGATATGAGATAAGACGCGCTGTTTCAAAGGCACGTTGCAATTGCAGTGAAGATTACAAATCCAATAGCAGATCGCTAGCAGATATAGCTGATAATTATTTTGTTCCATCACCTAGTAGTTCATGCATTATCAATTAGCAAGAGTTTAGTCGTAATGTTTTTCTCTTTTTAGAGGCGTTTATCCAAATTTGTTCTTCCATAGATTGTGACAGTTTTCGACATCTGATTGGTCTTTCTATTCGTTGTTCAGGCCTAGCTTACCAATGGTAACGTGTCTTATAACGTGGAGTTGGTGTACGACGGTGTGTGTTTGGGCGGTCAAGAAAGCTGTGCTACTCCATCCGGTTTCTTCGTAATCAGGAGGCGAGTCCTCGGAGTCCTCATCATCGCCGCTCAGGCATCCGTAACAGCAGCAACAGCAGCAGCAAAGGGTGGCCAGACCACCGAAGACAATGAGGGTGATCGCAGCAGCGTCGTTGACAACACCTTGGCACGCCTGCAAAAGAGACATAAATATACAAAGTGTGCATGTGGGGATAAGGTTTTCAGAATTTAATGTTATAGCTTTACATTGCTAAAAGAGTAATTTTCTGGGAAATTGTAGGAATTTTCCAAGGTACATATGTACACCTATCCAATAATAATATTAAAATCTATAAACCTTTTGACTTTTAATATCTATAAACTTTAATATTTATTGTCACGGAAATTCGACAATCTTCATATAAGTTATAAGATTGGCCTAAAATGGAAAATTGGACGTACAAAGTCGATTTTTAGATCGCAATTTGTGAACGGTTTGGTCACAGAATGCTTACTGCTGCATGTATAAATGTATCACAGCATACACATCAGCTATTCACAAAAAACTGAAAGCGACTTTTTAAAGAGTGACATCACCAGTGAAAAACACTTCAGGTATCGTTCAAGGTTCGTTTGGTTCAGGCAATCTGAACCGGAATCGCCAAATATGTTGAATTTTGATGCGTACTTCAGCTCATACGTGCAATGTTCTAGACATTTAAAATTTTCTCCCATTTATCTTTTTTAGGAGAAATATGGTGCTGGGCGACACTGTACCTTGTTCTCCAGGCGTTTCTCGGCATCCAGACACAATATTCCAAATGTCAGACCGCAGACTGCCAGACCTACGACTGACAGCAACAAACAGCAGCTACAACACAAAGCACCTGTATTTTCACCCATGTTTGAAATCAACTATTCACCGTGAACACACAAGAACTTATCTATTTGTTCCAGGAAAATGGGCCAAGGACAAATCGCAAAGCACGCCAATGTTCATGTAAACCGAAAGTTGCTTGAAATACACACAATGGACAAAAGAAGTCAAGTGTCACCCCCTGAATCAGAGTAACCAAATAATAATCAAGTAATCAATAATCAAAGTAGGCAGATCTTGAGTAGTTATAATATCTGGCATAAATTTCGTGTTTTCTTAATGTTAATAAAATGATACCAGGAGCATATCATTCCACAGTCATTTATCTCCCCCAAATATTGGTTCAGTAGGGGTGACACTTCCATTGTCCATTGTGTATTGAACAAACAATTAGTTCAGATTTACGGCAGGGGCGGATCCAGAGATATGGAAGAGATATGGAAGCTTTCCAAATTATCTTTGTTGATACATCCTCCATTTTTGACCGTCTTCCAAAAAAAAAAAAAAACTTAAAACTTGAAAATCTGAACGTCTTCCAGAAGACAGCCTCTGAACGGTTGTTCAAAAGGCATGGTGCAGACTCTAGAGAACAACTATAGTGACGTCATTTTATAATCTATGTTACTCAAATGCATAAGTATTTGTAACTGTTGGCATAATGTGAAAAATTGCCAAATCAAAAATGCGTATACTGTATAAGGCTTAGAAATGGAGTCATTTAAACAAAAAAGCTATTATGCCATTAAATGTCTACATGCACATGACGCAGGTAGTTGAAGGGCTCTTTCCCAATGAAAGCAGCGATCTGCGTAGATCGACTCAACTCCGAGTGGACTCACTGAATGCAATCAAATTAGCAGACTTACCAGTACAAGCCTCCCGTTGTTTTCAACGTATAAAATGCAGCTTTTCTGTAATCTACTCATCGACAAGAAGTTGCTTCTTAATACGATTGAATTTAGCAAGAGTTTCATCGAGAACAGCTGAATTTGATAATACGCCTAGCTTCTTCAGGCCGTTATGAATGCGACATCATTTCAGTGCATACACTCCATCTATACATAATTCATTGACCTCATGTCATGCGAACCCCCACCCCCAGGTATGATAATCAAACTTTTTATTGTGCCCTTATGTGTCTCTTATATATCAGTCATGACACCTTTTCGAAGGCATGCTAAACAAACCATTTCAACATATATGCGTAACGCAAAAAAGGGGACTAAGACATCGCCGCGTATTTGTCTCGTTTTCAGCCTCCCGTCCACACCATCAACAAGCGGAACTTCTCGATAAACGAGATTCCTTTCCGGGAAGTGAAAGCCACTAACAAAGATGTCAGAGGAGAGATGTCCCGATTGCTGCGGCTGGTGCATGTGTCTGGTCGTCCTAGCCGTGGGGGTGTGTGGGTGGACGTTCGGCATAGGGTGCCTGCAGGACGACCACAGGGCCACCCGGGGGGTAATGTTTGTTTATATGTGTGTGTTTGTTGATAACGTAAAAAGTACCGTATCCCAGTTAGGTTCGGCCCTGTTTCGTAGTTTCACAGCCAAATCATAACTGCATAAGACCTGCGTCTCACGAAGTACATGTACCATACTGAAAAAGAGGGGCATTCTCTTCGTCTTCTTCTTATATATATATATATATATATATATATATATATGTGTGTGTGTGTGTGTGTGTGTGTGTGTGTGTGTGTGTGTGTGTGTGTGTTTGTTGATAACGCTTAAAAAGTACCGTGTCCCACTTAGGTTATTCCGTAGTCTCACAACAAAATGATAACTGCATAAGACCTACTAGTAAGTCTCACGAAGTACAATAACCATACTGCAAAAGAGGATCATTCTTTGCATGTTCTTCTTACGGGTGGTTAAAATCCAGGTAACCCTCGTTCAGGAGCGTAGGAGACAAATTTTAAGTGCGTGCCTGTGTTTCCGCCCCCCCCCCCCCCGCACACACGTCAGTTTTAACAAAATATCCCAAGAAAGCTCTGCCTGTGTGTTGTATTGCATCAGTCCTGTTATGTGAAGTGTGTGAGTTGTGTCCCTTTGAGAGACCGCTTTACTTTATTCCGTAAACACTAAGCAGGATTATAAGTGACCTAAGTATACCGCTCGATCGCTTTATTAAAGCTGTGCACCTAGTTTTAATGGCACCACTTGACAATAGAAATACAAATGCGACAAGTCTGTAATAATGCAACGGTTTTACCAGAATAATGATATTCGAGTTTACTTTACTTTTACAGCTGTGTCTCTTCTGCCCTTCAAAAGCTTATTTTATTCCCTGTAAAATTCTGCAGGCATTAAAGATGATTCCTATTTTGTGCAACCCACTATTGAAACGGTGCCCAGACAGCCATCAACACACTGTTTTAACAGCTCGAAATAAAAATCCCAGTGTGTATATACAAAATGATTCATATGTAAAAGATCTCTTCCTTTTTACAGTACTGTTCAGGAGTTGTCAGCAGAGGCGCAGCCATAACTCTGATCATTTTCGGAACCATCGCCATGGCCCTCATTTTGTGCTGTTGCTGTATCGGCTGCTGCACGAAAGATGGCGCTCTAGACACCCGAGACCCCATCCGGGACCCTCCTCCTTACCAAGAAAGCAACCTTGCTTTCTGGACAGAACCATCTCGTATACTTATAAGGGACATTAGAAACGTTCGGCAAGTAGCTGTTGTGAGGCTTGGATACTCGGAAATTTGATTTCCACAGTTAAACATGCTCAAGAACTGGTAATTCTTTAAAAAATTGATGGGAGAGTATGCATCTTAATGATGCCAATTTTGTGTTTTGAGCACATGCAATACGTTGACAAAATATTTTGCTTTGTCAGAAAAATAATGTCTGTGATTTGCAGTTTTTTTTACATTATTTTGCAACAATTGACGTCGCTTTGATGAGTGCCAGTGAACTTTTTTATGTTGATACGACGATCAAATTGAACTTCATGTATTCGATTACTGCATTTCAATTTTAATTCCAACATAAAGCTTAATTTGGGCTTCGGAATGTAAATGCACTGTACATTTTGATAAAAACTATTGGACACGACTGGAAAAACGGGAGACTGAAAGAAATGTTTTTGTGAGAAAGAGAACATTTAGAAATCAATGTCGAAATCACTGACAGTTTACAGTTTTGTTATGTTATTTTATCAAAGATTGTGAGATGAGAAAAGACTGAAAGACTGAGAGTGATTTTTAAAAACTTTACTTCCCACATTCTGAAATGCATTTGTTGATACGGATCTATGAGCTAGCAGTTCGTTCCGTCTTCTCTACCGCATTCAAAACCTGCCGAGTGTTCGGCGACGCAATGTACTTTACTTTAATAATAATAATAATAATAATAATAATACATTCGAGGAACACTTCTAACAGGTTGATTGGTCAAAGTAATTTATAAGATTGCTACACAGCAAATCTATTTTTTATATTGCAGTTGGGTTTCAATCTATCGGATAAATAAAGATGCATATTAAAAGATTAAAAGGTGTCATATTGTTGATGGCCAAACAATGTTCAAGTCTGTGACAAGAAAAGCTTGAGGTACAATATGTTTGTTATCGCATTATATCAAACATTTTTGACCTCTCGCGTTGAAGGGTTGAAATATAATTGATATCAGCCGTCAGAGAGGGCAGGAATGTGACCTTTCCGGTGACATCACGAGGCCAAATACAATATTTATAATGTAAGCAACTTTAATGCCACGCTGACGAAAGTGCTTGCAGTTGACCTGCCAAGTGTCCATAAAAAAGATTCTGATATCAGAAGTGCTTTTTTATAACAGCCGAAATCTATCTTAGTGTTCAATGTATGGACCATGAGCGTTACGCATTTTGCTTTTGATGTACGTTTTGTGACTTTGTACATGTGTTGAATTTTTAAAAATCAAAGCAACTTGATGTTGCCAAAAAGAAATAACATATGTTAGTTTATCGATAAAGTCAAAACACGGAAACTCTGGGCTCAAATTCCTAAAAGCAGGAGATTTTAATTAAAATGACAAATACCATGTGACATAAATTGAAATTCCAATTATACGAACTCATACAAAGACGGGAAGGGTTTGAATTAACGGGCGAATTTGTTACTCAAGCAATAAATAGCGCATTATTCTTCAAGGTCTAAAAATTACGCGACCTCGAGCTCAATATCATTTTAAGGTACATGTAATTGGCTGAAGATAAAGATATACAACCTTAAGTCGAATGTTCATTTTTGTATTGTGCAATGCTGAATGGTTTTTGTTTGAAATACCTTTCATCCATTTAACACATGAGTTCATGTTACTGTGTATTATTGGACCGATTGCATCCCTCTCCTTCTCTACCTCGTTACCAGCGTATTTCTATTCCATTCATCGCAGTCCCTTAATATATTAAATAACCCTTTCTTATGGGTTCACGAATGAAAAATTAATGAATCGATACTGATAGAGAACAGCTTATTCGAACCCGAATGTCATGATCTGGAAAACGTGTTTTAAAGAAAAACAAACAACCGATTCCTTAACAAAAATAAACAATATTTATTTTACATTGTTATTTTGATATGCATTTGTAAATGATAAAAAAGAGACTGTTAGACAGTACTATCCTTTTTCATGAAAATTAAAGTATTTAATCAACGCAATCAAAGAGATCTTTATCGAGCCGCCAATTAATTGAATGTACAGACATAAATATTAATCATAAATTTTAATTCATAAAACGATTTGACTCAATTAATTGGATCACACATTCCATACAGTCCGACAAAATCAAACATCAGGCTCCAGTCTAGCAGCAGACCACCTCAGCACTCGTAACTTTCCATTCGCACGGGAGACCCTGGACTGGGATGGTCTAACTTTTGACGCCTAATAACTTCGATAATATGCTACATAATTACTTTAACTTAAGCTAATGTGCTTTTAATTTTAACACTGCCCTCTGCCATGTAGAGAAACAGAACCTAGTATGATCACCTTAATTTCAACATTTAATAAAGTTTAAAAGAAAAAAGGAGACAATATTCATACACACATTTCGTGCCTCAAGTATTCCTTACATACATGTAGTATTTCACCGGGATTTGTAATGAATCCATTGTCTTTTTCTAAAAGCATGAATTTTCACATGAAACATATATAGATAGATTTGTATTGCTGTAGCACCGGTACTATAGTAGTGTCCGCTTGACATAACCCAGCCTTGTACAGCTTTGTTTGCAATCTGTGCTGAAAAATGCACAGACAGTCATGTGATGAGAAAGACCAATATATGAGTTGTTCTTCGGTACATTTCCTTCCTGGGATGAATGTTAAGATCACCAGCGTAACGACATTTACTACATTCTTGCCGTACGTAAATTGACAAGTGATATTCAAATTCATTGCAAGTGATATTCAAAATTTTCAAATTTAGTGCAACTGCTAAAATTCCTGATTTAAAAGTAGATATGAGACCCCGCTGCTTCAAAGGCGCGTTGCAACTGAAGTGAAGATTACAAATTCAGTAGCAAATCTGGTTATTATTTTGTTCCATATCCTTGTAGTACATGCATTATCAATAAGCAAGAGTTTAGTCATAGTTTTTCGCTTTTTATAAGCGTTTATCAATATTTGTTCTTTCATAGATAGTGACAGTTTTCCGACATCTCATTGGTATTTCTATTCGTTGTTCATATTTTTCAGGCGTAGCTTACCCATGGAAAGTGTCTTATAACATGGATTTTTCGTACGACGGTGTGTGTAGGCGCTCAAGAAAGCTGTGCTACTCCATCCGCGTTCTTCGTAAACTGCTTTGTTTGAAAACAGCCGCAACAGCAGAAGAAGAAGGTGGCCAGTCCACCGAAGACAATGAGGGTGATCGCAGCACCATCGCTGACAACTCCCTGACACACCTTCAAAAGAAAAACTAATTTTCAAGGTGGCTTGTGGGAATATAGTCGGTAGAGTTAAATGCACACAATATGCGTTATTTCTTTACATAGCAAAAAGAGTATCATGACTTACATATTAGCTGCTTAAATGAATTGAAAGCGCCTTTTAAACGGTGAAATCACCAGTGAAAAACACTTCATGTATATTTTAAGGTTTGTTTAGTTCGGGCAATCTGAACTTGGTAGCAAAAACTGTTGAATTTCGATGCTCATTACACCTCATATGGGCAATGTTCTATACATCTAAATCTCTCTCCCATTGATCGTTTTTTATGTATGACACTGTACCTTGTTCTCCATGCGTTTATCGGCATTCAGACACATTATGCCGAATGTCAGACCACAGACTGCTAGAGCTATGATTCCCAAGAAATAACAGCAGGCACAACATCCACCTCTGTTTTCACCCATGTTTGAAATCAACTATTCACCGTGGATACAACTGAACTTATCTATCTGTTCCAGAAGAAGGGACCAAGGACAAAAAGCAACACATATATATACATGTAGCTGTAAACAGAGAGCATCTTGAGATAAGAGCAAACAATTAGATCAGATTAACGGTATTGTTCTAAGGGCATGGTACAAATTCTACAAAAACCACTATTGTGACGTCATTTTTCACCTTGAACACAACTGAAGCTATCTATCTGTTCCAGGAAAATGACAAAACGCAACGCACGGAAGCATCTTGAGATAAGAGCAAACAATTAGTTCAGATTAAAGGTATTGTTTCAAAAAGCATGGTACAGATTCCAAAAAAAAAAAAAAAAAAAGCACTATTTTGACGTAATTTTATAATCTATGTTACTCACATGCATAGATATTTCTAATTGTGGACAAAATGTGGAAAATTGCAAAATCATAAATGCGTATACTGTATAAGGCTTAGAAATGGAGCCATTAAAACAGAAAGCTATTATGTCAGCAAAAGTCTACATGCACTCTGACGCGTGTAATTTAATACATGCATGCACAAGCTGAGGGAGCGCACACACGCATCTGCTGAAATTCAAAAGGGACCTTTCAAGGCCGTTCTTAACACGACATAATTTCAGTCAGTAGTGCTTATACTCAGTCTATACATAATTCACTGGCCTCGGGTCATGCGACACCCCCAAGTATGATAATCAAACTTTTTATCGTTCCCTTATGTGTCTCTTATGTATCAGTCATGACACCTTTTCGAGGGCATGCTAAACAAACCCTATCAAAAAAGGGTATGCGTAACGCAAAAAAGGGGGACTGAGACATCGCCGCGTATTTGTCTCGTTTTCAGCCTCCAGTCCATACCATCAACAAGCGGAACCTTCAACGATAAACGAGGTTCCTTTCCGGGAAGTGAAAGCCCCTGACAAAGATGTCAGAGGAGAGATGTCCGGATTGCTGTGGCTGGTTCACGTGTCTGGTGGTGCTAGCCGTGGGGGTGTGTGGGTGGACGTTCGGCATAGGGTGCCTGCAGGACAACGACAGGGCCACCCGGAGGGTAATGTTTGTTTATATATATATTTATGTGTGTGTGTTTGTTGATAACGTAAAAAGTGACCGTGTCCCAGTTAGGTTAGGCCCTATTTCGTAGTTTCACAGCCAAATGATAACTGCATAAGACCTTCGTCCCACCAAGTACAAGTACCATACTGAAAAAGAGGAGCATTCTCTGCGTCTTCTAACAGGTGGTTAAGCCAGGTGATCCTCGTACAGGAGCGTAGGAGGCAAATTCTAAGTGCGCGTCAGGTCGTGCGTGCGTGTGTTTGCCCCCCCCCCCTCACACGTTAGTCTTATCAAAATACCCCAAGAAAGCTCTGCCTGTGTGTTGTATTGCATCAGTCATGATATTTTTAAAGTGTATGAGTAGTGTCCCTTTGAGAGACCGCTTTACTTTATTCTGTAAACACCAATCAGGATCATATGTGGCCTAACTACATGTATACAGCTCTATCGTTTTATTAAAGGGTTCACCTAGGTTTTGATGGCACCACTTGACAATAGAATTACAGATGCGACAAGTCTGTAATTATGCAACGGGTTTACCAGAATAATGATATTCAAATTTACTTAAGTTTTACAGCTGTGCCTCTCCTGTCCTTCAAAAGGTTTTTTTATTTCCTGTAAAAAAATGCAGGGATTAAAGATGATTCCCAAACTGTGCAGCTCACTATTAAATAGGTGTACGGACAGCCATTAACTCGATATAAACAGCTAAAAAAAATCCTGGTGTAAATATACAAACTGATTCATATATAAATGATCTATTTCTTTTTACAGTACTGTTCAGGAGTTGTCAGCAGAGGGGCAGCCATCACACTTATCATTATGGGAACCATCGCCATGGCCCTCATTTTGTGCTGTTGCTGTATCGGCTGCTGCACGAAAGATGGCGCTCTAGACACCCAAGACCCCATCCGGGACCCTCCTCCTTACCAAGAAAGCAACCTTGCTTTCTGGACAGAACCATCTCGTATACTTATAAGGGACATTAGAAACGTTCGGCTAGTAGCTGTTGTGAGGCTTGGATACTCGGAAATTTGATTTCCACAGTTAAACATGCTCAAGAACTGGTAGATCTTTTAAAAATTGATGGCAGAGTATGCATCTTAATGATTCCAATTTTTGTGCTTTGAGCACATGCAAAACGTTGACAAAATATTTTGTTTTGTCAGAAAAATAATGTCTGTGATTTGCAGTTTTTTTTACATTATTTTTACAACAATTAACGGCACTTTGATGAGTACCAGTGAACTTTTTTTATGTTGATACGACGATCAAATTGAACTTCATGTATTCGAATACTGCATTTCAATTTTAATTCCAACATAAAGCTTAATTTGGGTTTCGGAATGTAAATGCACTGTACATTTTGATAAAAATATTGGACACGACTGGGAAAAAAGGGAGACCGAAAGAAATGTTTTTGTGTGAAAAAGTACATTTAGAAATCAAAGTCGAAATCATTGACAGTTTATAGTGTTGTTTTGTCATTTTAACAAAGATTTTGAGATGAGAAAAGACTGAAGTTTAAGAAAAGTGATTTTTAAAAACTTTACTTCCCACATTCTGAAATGCATAAATTGAGACGGATCTATGAGCTAGCAGTTCGTTCTGTCTTCTCTACCGCATTCAAAACCTGGTGCAATGCACTATACTTTAATAATAATAATAATAATAATAATAATAATAATAATGCATTCGAGGAACACTTCTAACAGGTTGATTGGTCATAGTAATTTATAAGACTGTTACACAGCAAATCTATTATTTTTATTGCAGTTGGGTTTCAATCTATCGGATCAATAAAGATGCATATTAAAATATTAAAAAGTGTCATATTGTTGATGGCCAAACAATGTTCAAGTCTATGACAAGAAAAGCTTGAGGTACAATATGTTTGTTATCGCATTATTTCAAACATTTTTGACCTCTCGCGTTGAAGGGTTGAAATATAATTGATATCAGCCGTCAGAGAGAGCAGGAATGTGACCTTTCCGGTGACATCACGAGGCAAAATACAATATTTATAATGTAAACAATTTTAAGGCCACGCTGACGAAAGTGCACAGTTGACCTGTCAAGTGTCGATAAAAAGATTCTGATATCAGAAGAGCTTTTTTTATAGCTGCTCAAATCTATCTTAATGTTCAATGTATGGACTATGAGCGTTACGCATTTTGCTTTTGATGTATGTTTTGTGACTTTGTACATGTGTTGGATTATTTTTAAAATCAAAGCAGCTTAATGTTGCCAAAAAGAAATAACATCAGTTAGTTTATCGATAAAGTCAAAACACGGAAACTCTGAGTTCGTATTCCTAAAAGCAGGAGATTTTAATTAAATGACAAATACCATGTGACATAAATTGAAATTCCAATTATACAAACACATACAAAGACGGGAAGGGCTTGAGTTAACAGGCGACTTTGTTACTCAGGCAATAGGGCATTAATCTTCAAGGTTATAAAAATAAAACATCTCAATATCTTTTTAAGTGTAATTTGCTTAAGAGAAAGATAAACAGCCTAAAGTCGATCGTACTTTTTTCGTATTGTGACCGACAGAAATTGAACACAGGAGTTCATGCTACTTTGCATTATTGTTATTGAACCGATTCCCCCTCCCCCTCTCTACCTCGTTATCATGCAGCACTATATCACAGTCACTTAATTTTTTTAATAACCCTTACTTATGGGATCACGAATGAAAAATTAATGAACCGATACTGATATAGAGAACAGCTTATTCGAACCCGAACCTCATGATCTGGAAAACGCGTTTTAAAGAAAGACAAACTACCGACTCCTTAACAAAAATAAACAATATTTATTTCACATTGTTATTTTGATATGCATTTGTAAATGATAAAAAAGAGACTGTTAGACAGTACTATCTTTTGTCATGAAAATTAAAATATTTAGTCAACGCAATCAAAGAGATCTTTATCGAGCCGCCAATTAATTGAATATACAAACATAAATATTAATCATATATTTTAATTCTCGATTTAACTCGATTTAACTCAATAAATTCGATCACACCTTCCATACAAACCGAGAAAATCAAACTAGTTCTGGTAAATTTAGTGAACATCATCAGGCCCCAGTCCAGCAGCAGACCACCTCAGTACTTTAACATTCCATTCGAGAGACCCTGGACTGGGGTAACTTCGATTAAACTGCTACATTATTACTTTAACTTAAGCCATTGTGATTTTATTTTTAACACTGCCCACTGTGAACCTTGTATGATCACTTTAATTTCAACATTTAATGAAGTTTAAAAGGAAAAAGAAACAATATTCATACACACATTTCGTGCCTAAAGTATTCCTTACATACATGTAGTATTTCACCGGGATTTGTAATGAATCTATTGTCTTTTTTAAAGGCATGAATTTTCACATGAAACATATATAGATAAATTTGTATTGCTGCAGTACCGGTACCATACTAGCGCCCACGTGACATGACCTAACGTTGCACAGCTTTGTTTGCAATTCTAGACATCAGTGCTGAAAAATGCACAGACAATCGTGTGATAAGAAAGACGAATATTTGAGTTGTTCTTCGGTATATTTCCTCCCTGGGATAAAGGAAAAAGGTTTGTTTCACCAACGTCACGACATTAACTACATTCTTACCGTACGTAAATTGACAAGATCTGAAATGTCGTAAAGTACGTTGATATGAAAGATTTTTTGTCAAAGGTCGTATAATGCTTAAAAAACAGGATCTACATGACATAAACTTAATCAGTCTCCTACCGTTCAAAACCACAGTACTTTTTTACCTAGTTTCGATGGTCAGAGGGATGTTTTCTTTACATTGACATTGGCCGGAGACCGCCAACCTTCTACATGGTCATGTATTAGCAGTCGTTTAAGAGGTAGGATTAATATAAACAATCTATTGATGAGCTTGGAACAACAATGAGAACAATAAAGACGAGGTACCTGTGTATTACTTTGTACGACTACGACGGCCTTTAACGGAGGTGCATATGCATTATCATTGAATTGTATCGTTTCCCACTCAAACGAATTGGCCCTAGAGTCGCAGCCAATTGTTTGATTGTTCAGCTTAGTTACATCATTAACATCCAAATACAGTGCTTAGTTTTCAAATATATACTTAATTAACGTGTACCAACTAATAAAGATTTTATTCTGTTTTACTTTGTGTGCAGTTTTTTTCTAAGGGGCAGACCATGACACTTGCACGTATATCATATTTACATAGATGCACTATTACTCATTGGGACGTTACGGCGATTTCTTGATGAGTGCATATTTAGAAGCACTAAGTACCCCCTTTTCCTGTATGCACCTACAGAACATGTGCACAGTTTTGTGGCATTGGTCCATAACATCTTAAAATACCAACTTAACTACTTACATGACAAAATAAACCTTACTGGCACGGTAAAATGAAATGAAAATGTCCAATTCTGAGACCACTGGCGGAAGATATATTGCGTCAACTTCCGTTTTAACTTCCAGTCGCCAAAACCACAAGCTGAGGGTGCTCAGTGGGAAGTCATACAATTACATTCCCGACTGCTTGATCAGGGAACGTCCATGTCAGTCTCATTTAACCGCTTTAGAAGCATACTCGTGGGTCTTCTACGGCCGTCATTCCCATTTAACCAGTTCAGTGTGATATTACGGTACAAAGCGTCTGTAAAATTGGTCAGTATTAAGCGACCAACATTCTCGACACGGAATCTGTGCATGCTACCATTCACTCCGGCCTGTTTGAGGATGTGCTTCGGTTTGTTAAAACCAATCCCGTCTAGCCACTCTCTCGTTTTGTTTAACAAGATTTCACTTTCCTGCGGCCGCCGTGTGGTATTGTCCCCTACTTTGACTCGCACTTTCCCGGGTAACGTCGTCACTTCGAGGCTCACTTGGACTTCCGTTTGCGCACTGCTTTCCTCGCTGATTTGCCAAATGGCTATAAAGACAACGGCAGCTATGAGTGTAGAGCTGATCACGCCTGCTATTAGAAAAATCAAAGCTTTGGTGCTGCCTTCGTTAGCCTGCTGGTAGTAGGTCCTGTTGAAGTTACGGATGCTGAGGAGTGAAAACGCCACCGTCGGGACGCCAAGCAGAGGATTGAACAGCGTCAATACGAGGGCAGGAATGAGGTAATTTGGTGGAGGCCTGCAATAGAAGAAATCATAATTTATTTGCGTTATTGGGCAATGTGTTGGGGCTTTTTAATGAGCAAGTTAATGTTTGGGCCAAGTTTAACTCAAGGAACAATGTGTATCTTTATTTTGAAGCCGCGTATTTTTTTCTGTATTTTATTCGCAGGAGGGTTTAACATGTCCATGGCATGTCCGTAACATAGATTTTGCAACGGGTGTCATTCAGTAATTTTTACGAAATGCAACCCTGTGAGTTATCATATAAAGTAATGTAAATGAAGATATTTGACGTTGTATACATGTATCTCGCCACACTGAATCAAGGAATACAGGGGGGAGGGTACTTGAATCACTTAAGTTAATTCCCAAACAACTACAACTACAAGGAATATCAAAGCCTTGAATTGGTAAACAGACTTTGCACCAGACAACCAGAGTACGTGATTGGAGCACGTTTCAGAACTCGACTCTTGTGTTTAGTTTGTGACGTTCCTATCTGGTGAAAGACAAGGCGCAGACACAACATGGCCCCGTTACAAAGTATAGGAGGTGATATCATAATTTCTCCCATTCGATTCACGTGTTGCTGTGTCTGAGATTATATACATGTATGTCTCCCTTGTTGTTTGTGTGTCACCGAAATCTACGTGAAAACACACTTACTGCAGTATACACATAGACATTGTTTTGCTTTCCCAGATAAGTTAACTACCCTACTTTAAGGTTATCCAGTTTCGCTTCAACTGATACACGATAAAAGAGTGTTGAAATATGAGGGCTTTTTTTAAATGCCAGATTACACGTGCTTGCTGAATGATTATTTTAATTTTGATAACATAACTTATCAGTAGACTGGAGACAGCAAGCAATTTAAAGGTTACGGTAAAAAGTTTCAAAACAAATCCCGATATCAACATGAAGCCGAGTTTTTTGTATTTGTTTGTTGCTTTGAGACCTAAACACACACTCACTCACGTACGCACGCAGATGTTACAGAGACGTCAGGGTAGCTTCCTACAAAAGGTGAAACTGCCTATATCTATTTGAAGCGTGGTTGTGCGCAAAATCCTTGTGAGGGAGTGAGGGAGATTGAGGGGATAAATAATCAAACGACACAAGTGATTTCGTAGCCGCATAAGCGTTGTTAAGTACGCCACACTAAGTACAGTGTACATGGTGGAGGAACGCCATCGCCAAATATCATAACTTAAGGGTCTTACACAACGTCTTTGGGCGTATTTACGTCTAATAAAAAAGTAATAATATAATAATAGAGACATTCGTTTACACTGAGATAATCCGGTGACTGAGAAAGCCTTGAAACCGAAAATGACGCTTTGTCTAAAAAACACTGCTAGTTCGCGCACGTCATTCGGGAGTTCGTGTAACAGGTAAAAGAGCAATCACGAGCACTGTGCAAATTTACGTAAATGTGGCTTTATGATTACCTGTAACTTCTAAAATCATTTGTAATCCTCCAGTATTTGTAGTCAATACTACAAGTACAATGTACTGGCAATTGCCAAACACTCAATGGAAGGGATGACAAACGCTTAAACATCTAAGTTATTAGTCGCCAGAAAAACAGAGTCACTCCTGGAGATGGATTTTGAACTGACAAAACGGAATTAAAAACAAGTTCTATAAAACTTATGCTGAAAGTGTGTTGAAGTAATCAAAAAGATGGGATTTTCTAAAGGCAACAACGAAAAAATGATACAAGTGCAAATTTCGTTGTAATAAATGTATGTACTTCGTACTTAATGATAAGAGTCGTAGGTACAAGCGCCTGTAAGATTTTAAAATTTTAGTTGTAATTGACAGAGGCCAAAATCAAAGGGCAGACAAACAGACAGACGGACGGACGGGAAGAGAAAGAAAATACACAGAAAGAGAAAGGATAAGAAATTAATGGAACGTAATGTGGACCACAATGCAATTACTAGACAGCTAAAAAATTTCCGTTGATATTTGACATAAGCTGGATGGGTCGAGTTTGGAAGTATGGTAATTACGCGTACTGTTGATCCTTGTCATGAAAGCTGACAAGGGCAACTAAACAGACACTTGGATGAATACCAAACATTAGAAAGGTCGACCCGGTGTCATTCTACCCTACATCTGTGTGTTTTATCAGCTTTGTGCTTGTGAGAGTGATTTACCTCACACTGGAACACACACACATACACACACACGCACACACACACACACACACGTGTACATGCACACACGCACACAAACAAACACTCACACACCCAAGTTGAGAGAAAGAGAGAGAGGGAGAGTGCGAGTATACTTTCAGAGAAGGAACACCTGCCGTTTTAATTTCATCAAAATAACCGCAAAAAGACCATTATCGTGTTATTTATTATTTCTAAAATGTAATCAGGAACTGAGGAGAAAGCTTTTCTTTACTATACGAGGCTTTTCTTCACTGTACGAGGCTACAAACCACTGTCGTATATCTCTTCTTAGACGGGATTTGGAAAATAACTAGGTGCGATTACGCCGAGGACAATGAACCTGATTAGCGGAGTCTGAAGCTGACTGATTCCTTGATTACTTCGAAATAACATATTACACCTGCTCACGACACAGAAATGATATGAAATCGCTGACGGTTACTATAATTTCAGCAATTCCGTTTCTAAAAGATATTCGATCGCGTCCACTACGCGTAATAAATTGCTTTCTATATTTAGCTGTGGGTGAATTATTTGACATTTTCCAGTCGAGTTATCTTAGCGTCATTGGAATTGTTTTACATGCCCCTGATAAATGGGTAAATGGCGGATACAGAATATATCTCCCAGGTGAGAGAGAGAGAGAGAGAGAGAGGAGGAGGAAGAGATGAGATTTGGAAAAAGAGATAGACAAGAAACATTTCAAGTGAGGAATTACGAGAGAAAGTGCGGGATAGAGATGAAAAGAGAGAGAGGAAAAGAGAAGGGTTGAAATTCTAAGAGAAAGAAAGGAGGGGTGGGGTTGAAATTCCGAGAGAGAGAGAGAGAGAGCGAGAGAGAGAGAGAGAGAGATTCACTCACTTTGGGGGTGGTAGTCGATACCTATATGTACACCTGGTAGCACCCAGAGCAGTGTTTCCGTACGGCATCGCATTGCCCCGGTCTTTGGTCTCGAAACATGTTCTCTCATCAGCCGGATCTTCATCCTCATCATCATCTTCGGCGATTATGTGGATACTTCCGTCTGTGAGCTGGTCCAGCGTCTTGCAGTCTCTCGAAGAGCTAGCGGCGTCAGCCTTGGGTGCAGCGGAGGGCTGCGGTGGCGGCAGAGATAACGCGCTCGCAGGTCCATTACAGTCCATGGTCCAGAATAGGCAGAGCAAGCGCTATATGGGGCATTCGCTGTCATGTCTAATGAGAGCTCCCACTGAACCAATAGGCTTATATGATACTTCACAATTCTCTCTTATGAAAACAATGAACCTTGCAGCTGAAACACAGAAAAAAAACTTCCTTAGTGGTGGATTATTTTAAAACATTTCCGACGTGCAAGAGTTGCAGATCAACGGGGTTAGATAAAGTGACACATTTTCAAAATAAGCCGTTTGTTTGACATTTGTAATGGTGAAGGAACTTTGTGTACTCTACCACTTCCAAGAGTCAAATGACTGATGATTCGAAGTTGAAAAGAACAAAACAGTTGTGGCTTTCAATTGTGTATTTGCAGTTCTTTCATACAAGTGCATTTATTATGAGTAATTGTTTAAAAACAACGTTCATATTTTGTGCAATTAACAAAATATACAACCCACGTTCATGACGAAGGTCGTTTTGTGACACAATTCAAAGTGCGATACAAACCGTGATAACCATATAATATTTCCAAAAGTCTAATAAATATTGTTTGATTTTATCAACAGAATTTTGTTTTCGCACGCACCTTCATTAAAATGTGATTGCTCTTTGAGTCAGTCAAAATGGCGACAATTCTCGTTCAATGGCCACATAAGACTACGAAAAACACAGGCTTCGTGACAACTAATTTACCACAACTTACATAACTACTTTTTTGTATCCTAAATCAGCTGACACAGCTGAGCTGTATAAACTTACAGATAACACGAAAAAACATCAAAATAGAGCACACACTGGTGACAATTATGTCCTTGGTTGCCAGTTTTGTTACCACGCGCTTAGTCAGGAAGCGAATGACGCATTTTCTTTACTAGTTTGTCAAGACTTAGATATCGGTTGTGGATATACCATAACCTGTAGAGATGATCTCTGAACTGTATCTTACTCGTAAAGGGATGATAACTCTTCGTATGAAATCTGTATTTCACAATAAAAACATTGTGAGTGACTCATAAAAATATAATATATTCTGTTTTCCCACAAATACGGCTGTTATAGCTATTATTCTGATATCTGAGCTTGTCTTTAGACCACGTGACCTCCATTGATGGCTATACTCTGTTAAAATCTCTTAAGAGATTTTAACAAAAAACCAAACTTTTTAGAAAAAAACCAGAGACTAACTTTGAATGTAAAAATGGATTCATTAACCATTGGTAAGTATGGGAAAATTGTTGTTTACTCCAGGAAAATTCATTTTTTGGCCGAAACGAAGAGTTATTATCACTTTAACATGATCTCTTAACTCCCAAAATCGCAAAACCCCTCACACTCTTACCCTCCTTTCCCGTCCAGGCCTCCCTCAAAACCAATACTCAACTGATAAGGCAACTGGTTGCCCTAAATATCACGTCGTTGCACAAACACCCCTTCCCGTTATGCCCCTATTTCACACAGACCACGAATCCCACGAATCGCCAGGAATTGAAAATTTCAGGATTCGTGGTTGAATCGTAATCAGTTCGTGAAGTTCTTAACAGATTCGTATATAATCGTAGTCAGTTCTTGCAATTCTTGATCAATCGTTCAAAATTTTGGCCACGAACTCCCGATTCCAAAAAATCGTAGTGAATTTCTGGACAATATTCGTGCGATTCCAGCCGAATCCTAAGAATATTCGTATAACACTATCGCACCTGTATTGTAACTGAATCGTAGAGCGTGTCGAATTAGAGCAGAAAATTGGCAAAATCTCACGAATCCTCACGAATCCTGAAATTTGTCAATTCCTGGCGATTCGTGGTCTGTGTGTAATAGGGGCATTAGTTAGAAGCAGTCACCATTCCACGTGGCCTTATACAGGTGCAGTGCCGTGTGTATTATTTAAGGTTAAAGAGGCGAGCGTTTTTGTTAACATAAAGCACGTTTTATATCTTGACACTACAGTAGTAGGTGTTTTGTGCAGCATAATATATTTAATGTTTGGAACGATTGTAAGACTTAAAACAGGGTTATTCTCCTCCTTAAAAAGAAGTCTACATTAAATACAAAACCTAGTGAAAAGGAAAATATGGCGATTAATGGAAACAAATTTGATCAAACAGATCGTGTATTCAATACGGATTTGATAGCTTAAACTTTTAAGTTTAAGCTAATTTTAAAAAATTGAAATGTTCTATATAATCTTCGAGGCAGGGAATTAGGAAATATATACAAGTATTGTGTGGAAAACGACAGGAAAACTGGTTTTAGTGGCGTAATTAAGATCTAGAAAACAGCAATCCTCTTCACTAGAATTGTAATCGAACTCGTCCATATGTAAGGCGATGGCTTTTGATGCTTTATCATTTGTTTTTTGTTGTGTAAAAATCAAGAAAAAATATTTGGGGCAGTGTACTAATTGTCAAGATATTTAGCGAATATTTATTGACTATTTTTAATCATATAATGTTTCACGTAGAACAGGAAACAAATGCTCTTAAATGCCGCATTAAATTATGAAAACTTGTTTACACTATGGCACTCCCTTTTGTAACACTGCGTGTGGCTCCTCTATTTTCATAAACATTTCGTTCTTTAAAATAACCCAAGCATTTCTTATTGCCATTAAAAAGTTACGTAACGCCTCAGATGATTCAGACAAATAGAAAATACATAAGGCTTGCTGCCAATGAATTGTTGCATTTAGGTATACAATCTTATTATTATTTTTTTTTGCGCACGTGTTTGACATTTTCCGGTTCTCGAAGAAAATAAAAACAACTCCAGCTGATTAAAAATATAATTGGAAACGTTGTATCATTTCTAAAAAATCAAATGAGACGGTTCTGTTTATCAGTCAAAAAAAGTTCCTTGTCCAAACAGACGCCCCTGGTTACATAAAACGCCTCCCCAACACCCTTTTAAAACGTAATAAGAAACCACGTGTAGAGCCGCATTGTGCAACCGCAACGCTTTTTGCAACCTTTTTTTTTCTAAGTCACGGAAACGGTTTTAAATACCTGAATGCTATAGTGATACATATGGTTACATGAATGGAAGACCTCTTAATCCTGTAATGGTCTCTCCGCCTCTCACACGCCTCCCCACGCGACGTCCCTGCAGAGGCACAGTGATTCAATCTCGGCTCCATTTGACGGACACCTGGGGTCTTCCTTTCATGTAGGGTCCGCCATATTTGATCCTTGGATCAGTTCATACTCGGATCTTCTATTCTGGAAGGCCGCAGAGACGTTGCCATAGACCCTCTTGAATTTTAGTGGGATTGAAGGGAGGTTTGTCTCCGGGTTGAACGGTTTCACTTTCTTCTTTCTAATTTTATCAACCCAAAAAATTAAATTTTAATCTCTGCACTCTTTTAAGAAGAGATCACGGAATTAACAATGAGCAAAAAAAAAAAAAAAAAAAAGACTGGGTACTGGCATTAAATTTTCTAAAGACCCTTATACTTCCCTGGTTTATCGATCCCCAAGGTTTCAAACCCTTTGTTAGCCCCATCCTAATCGGCTTACGGCATAAATGAGGCTTAATGCCAGTAATATAGCAGCTAAAGCAGAACTAGGCAGATTCCCAATTACACATGACATAATTGGTCATGCTACATCCTACTGGCAAAGATTTTCTGAAATGCCAAAGCAGCGCAAGGCAAAAACAATGTATGAATATGAAACAAAACATGACACACAGGTAAAAAATTGGTCAAGCGAAATTAAATACATTACTCAAAATTTAATCAAAACACCGACTAATACCCCCTCGAAAGCAGAAGTAAAAAATGCACTGGAAAGTCACTATACCTTTTTGTTTCTCAAAGAAATAGAGCGAGGAAACAGCATACTACGTACATATCGATTATTTAAAACAAATTATGAAAGGGAAGCGTACACAACAGCACCTATGCCAAAACATGAAATGCAAAATTTGGCAAAATTTAGAACAGGGGCACATGACTTAGAAATCCAAAGAGGCAGATACCGAAAACCAAAATCAATATCCCCTGAAGAAAGAATCTGCAAGTTATGCTCAGATGAAGTCGAAAACGAAATACACTTCCTTTTAAATTGCCCCTTACTCACCAAACGCAGGGAGATCCTAAAACCAGATCCTACACAAACCCCAGAGGGCCAGTTCAAATGCATAATGCAGTCAAACAATTTAGATGTTATAAAGAATGTGGCCCACTATATTACAATGTGTAATAAGGAAAGAAAAAATATTCTCAACCAACCACCACCTAGTCAACCAAAGTAACTAAGCGTATACTGCAATTGTAAAATCTGATCGCAGTTATTGTATAAACAATATTGTAATTTATTATTGTAATTTTAGTTATATGATTATATAATGTATACTGTTAGGTAATAGTCATTGTAAAAATGAACTTGAACCGCAATAAATAATAATAAAAAAATAATAATAAATAACCTTGTAGAGCCACATTTTGTTCTGTTAAAAGTATAAACTGGAGATAATATTGGATGTAATGCGGTCTATCCGTTCTGCAATTGAAAACTTACAGGTGCTGTCTTTCATATTGCTAAAGCGATATGATGGCTAACTTCGATAACATCAAGCCAAAAACACTTACGCAGAGTAGCCAGTGGAACAGTTGCCAACAAATAAGCAGGATACTAGTAATTGAAACTCCTGAGTATATTCCTGCTAACAGTAGCTTTTCAAGAGGATTGGTTTCCCAAGAGAGTATAACGTTGAGTAATTTGAAAATCTTGTCTTTTTTTGTTATCATGGCATAAGAGACAATAAAAGACATATTTCATCCAACTCAAATTATGCTGTGATATATTTAATCAATTTTTTTAAAATTTACCAATTAAAAAACGTGTTTGAAGCTCAAGGTCAATGCGACTTATCAATGCACCGATTTAAAAAAATAAAAATAAAAAGTTATAATAATAAAAGTAAAATAAAATAAAATATAATCCGTGTTCTTAAGAAGAGAACGCTGTTTGTGTCATTCAGATATTTCCAATCACAAAAATATAGTTTTTACTTAAATTCTGTGAAATTTGCATTTGCACTCGATGGAACCTATCTACGGGGCCCGCTGGCACAAAGCCAGTTCGGGGCTAAAGACACGTGTTCAGGCATTGTTTTAGTTTCAGTATGTTTTATTTC